GGGCCCTGGTCGGCAAGGGTAGAGGGCAGAGATCGGGTTTCGGCAAAACGGCAAGCGCTTGCCGGCCGGCAACGGCAACAGGGACGATCAGGCGTAGGCGCGCATCATCGGGCGATAGCCGCCCCGGCATCGCCGGTCAGCGTCTGCAGCTTGCGCCGCACATTGGCCGCCATCAGGTTCACATAGATGCGGCAGGTCTTGTTCAGGCGATTGGGTTCGTCGGCGAGCTCGCGCAGGTCGGGACCGGCCGGACCGGTGCCGAGCGAGGCGACATCCTCGATCGCGGCCAGCTTTTCGGTGGTAGCGCGTTCCAGCGCGACGACGTCGTTCGACTTCAGGGCCGCGATTTCACGATGAAGGGGCCTGATGACCCGGATCAGAGCGTCACGCCGCGTCATTTACCATTCCAGTCGAGCTTCAACGCGATCATCTGGTCGGCGATGGTCGCTGGCAGGATCGGGAAATTGCCGTTGGCGATCGCCTTCTTAATCTCGGCGATCCGGTCCATATCGACCGGCGGTTCGGCGGCCAGCGTGCGGGCTAGATTGCCCACCCTGCTCGTCTGCCCATCGCCTTGGCGGGCGTTGTGGCGGTCTGCGCTTCCGCGGCGAGCGCGCGCCGGGACGCGGCACACGCCGGCGATCCGCGCGACCTCGTTTCCCGGCACTGAGCCTTGTTGACATCGACCATGTCCGCACCCGCTGGTTTCGCTGACATGGGGTAACGTGGCCCCGGCCGATTTTTAGGGAATTTTACGGACCCCCCCGCGCATTTCTGCCAATCATTCCGACCAGCCGGGCAGGGTGGCGCGGCCGCTGGCCAGCGCGACCGTTCGATCGGTTGGCGCGCGGCGTCGATGCGCACCGGGAAATGGCTGCCGGGCGCGGCATCGGCCATCGCAACCCCTTCGCGGGTAATGAAAAATCCGTCCGAGCCGGCCTCGATCACGACGGGGTTCCGCGCCGGATGACGGTTCGGCCTTCACCGCGATGGCGGGCATGTGGCGGCGGCGGCGGGCGGGCGCGCTGAGCACCGCACGAAGATCCGCCATTGGGGGCCTGCGCACTAACCACGACGGCATCATGCGCCCCGGTCCGCCAGACAGCGATAGGTGGCATGCGAGCTTCAGCTGCGTCGACCGGCCCGCGCCCGCCCCCCACCCCGATCGGTCGGCCGGTGTTGGTGGCGACGGCGGCGTCGAGCGCGCCAATATCTCGAAAATGGCGGCACCCGCCAGCAACAGGGAGAGGATCATTGGTGTCTCCAGATGGTTCGCCGGCAAGACCAAGGTGACCATCGCGATGCGCTGGCCGGGCTTTTGCGGCGGTGGAAAGGGATCAGGCGGTCGACGGCGGCCGGACCGATCAGCGCGGCGGCGGCGCGCGCACGATCGGCGGCGAGGACCACCGCGCTATGGGTGACGGGATCGACACGGCGGCACTGCCATCGGTGGCGCTGACGACCGACAGCCGGACGCGGATCGGCCAGCGCCTCATGCGCCCGTGGGGACGAAGAGCACGTCGTCGACCGGTGTCGCTGAGCTGGCGCGAAGCGCAGCGCGGCGGCCGCCACCGGCATGGCGGTGGTGGTTCGGGCGGCGGCATCGCCCGGCCGACCAAGGACTTGCTCGACCCGAATTGCGCGCGCAAGCTGCTGAGCAGCGCCGGCCGGCGCTCCGTCCCCGTCGCCTGAACGAGAGAACCTCGTGAAGCCGACCAGCAGCAAGGCGAGGTCGGCCAGTGACGAGCCAGATGGGGTTGGCGGGCGCGGCTTCGGGAAAGACGGGATCGGTCATGCCACGCTCACCAGATTAGCCGCCGCCGCTTGCCGGGGTGAGGGGCGCCCGACGCGGTGCCTTCGCGCGCGCGAGAGCAAGGCCAGCGGGGCGACGAGGCGGGTGCGCTCGAACGCCTTCGATCCGGGCGGCACGGCGCAGACGGATGGCGATGGGCTGTGCGACCAGATTGGCGAACAGCGCGCCATAGAGCGGTGGCGAGCAGCGCGATCGCCATCGCGCCGCCGATCCGCTGAGGGTCGTTCATCGTCGCGAACATGGCCGCCAGACCGATCAGCGTGCCGACCATGCCCATGGCGGGCGGCTTGGCCGCACCGGCCCAGATATCGGCGATCGCGACATGTCGTTCGACCCGACCCTGACGCGCCATGGCGAGCCGGTTCGTGACGGATTCGGCACCTTCGCCATCGACGATCGCGGCGATCGCCTCGGCTGTGTCGGGATCGGTAATGACCGATCGGTCGAGCGTCAGCACGCCGTGGCGTTTGGCGACGCGCGACAGATGCGCGATCTGCCTGACCAGCGGATCGGCCGAGAAGGGCCGGCGGATCAGCACCGTCAGCCTGTACCGCTCGCCGCGCATCCCCCAGGCGTGCGCAGCAAGGTGGCGATCAAGGTCCCGCCCAGCACGATGGCAAGCGCGGCCGATCAAGGAACTGGTGAAGCGGTGGCAAAGCGATCATGCGCGTCTCCCTGCAAGGGGCGGGCCAATGATCTTAGGGCGGCCAAGCCGACGGTCGGCTCAGATGGATTCCTCCCCTGCAGGAGGGGACCAGCGAAGCTGGTGGAGGGGGTCCCCGGCTGCGGTGACGGTCCAACCTCACCAAGCGTGACACCTCCGTCAGGCCTTCGGCTGCCACCTCCCCCGGCAGGGAGGAAGATGGGCATGCCTATCCCGGCGTCGCTGCTGCTTCAGTTGCCGCCGGCCGGCAAGATCCGGCAACGCCTTGCCGATTGCCGGCTGCCGTCCGCGCTTTCCCCTCCTAGCCTGCGCACTGGCACGGAGGTTGCGAGACTTCGGTGGCGCGATGATCCGCGTGGGAAAGGAGGGTTGATCGATGGCCGCAGAAACGCTGTTCGGAATTCATGGTGCCGCGCTCGAAGTTCGGGGCAGCGTATGGGCGTGCTCGCGTCCAATATCGCCAACGCCTCCACCCCGGCTTCAAGGCGCGCGACATTGATTTCTTTGCGGCGCTCGCCGCCGTCGAGGGCGGACAGTAGATCAGGGCATCGCCAAGGCGATGAAGTACCGCGTCCTCTCGAAACCCTCGCTCGACGGCACATGGTCGAATTGGCCGAAGAGCAGACCGCCTTCGCCGAGAACGCCGTCCAGTATCAGACGACCCTGTCGTTCCTGAACGGCCGCATTTCCACCATCACCCGCGCGCTGAAGGGCGAATGGCGATGCCGAACGGACCGCTTTCCATCTTCCAGTTTCGGGCCGCGCCATGTCGGCGCAGTCAGTGGATGAACACCACCGCGTCGAACTCGCCAATGCCGGCGGCATCGCCGGGTCGGTCGAGACCGCTTTACAAGACGATGAAGCCGGTGTTCCGCACCAGCTTTCGACGCCGCGATCGGCCTTTCGACCGTCGATGTCGAGAAGACGTGATCAAGCCGGCGAAGACCCACCAAGCGCCACGACCCCAATAACCCGCTGGCCGACAAGTGACGGCAACGTCTTCGAGGCGGCGGTCGACGAAACCCGCGAGCTGGTCGACATGATGGAGACCGCGCGCACCCCATTTCAGAACAATGTCGAGGAGGATGCAGACCGCCAAGTCGCTGATCCCCGATACCCCCAAGCTGGGCCGCTGATCGACCTCCACCGCGATGAATCTGACGCTGGACAGCCTGGGCATCAAGCGTGCTGGCGACGGCGCCGGCAACCGCCGCGCCGGGCCAAGAAGCGACCACGCCTGACCAGTCCGTTTTCCTGACGCTGCTCACCGCGCAGCTGAAGAACCAGACCCAAGTTCGCGCCGATGGACAACACCCAGATGGTCGCACAGATGGCGCAATTCTCCAGCGTCGCCGGCATCTTGAGGATGAACACGACGCCTACCCCTGATCGCACTTTCGCAAGCTGAACGCGACGACGCCGGCGGGACGCGATGAACTATGTCGGCAAGACGGTGCTGACCGAAGGCACCATCAGCCTATGGCCGCACCACAGCGGCGGGCTGGCCGGGCAAATGAGCCTCGACAATGCCGCCACCGATGTCTCGGTCACCATTTCGACGCGCATGGCGGGTGCTGAAGACGGTGTCGCTGGGTGCGCAGAAGGCCGGCACCGCCAGCTACTGGGACGGCAAGACCGGAGGACGGCGAAGCGGCTCGCTGGGCCCCTTCACCATCTCGGTCGGCGCGCCTGACGGCAGCAATGTCAGGAACGCCCGCTCGCTCGTCTGGGCGCCGGTCCAGTCGGTGTCGATGCCCACGAACGGCACCCCAGTCCTTTCCGTCGCCGGCCCGGCTGTGTCCAGCTTTCCGCCGTCCGTCTGGTCGGCTGGATCCCTTTCGTATCAGGAAGATAGCCCATGTCCTTCTACACCCGGCTCAGCGGGTCTTCAGGGTCTCGCAAACCGACATGTCGGTCATCCGCACAACCGGCCATCGTTGGCACCCGTTAACGGCTTCTGCAAGAAGATGAATTCGCCGACGTGATGGCGGCGAACTTCCTCGACCGATCCGTTCAAGCAGTCGGCTCGGGCACGGTGGTCAAGGGGCCAACCGGCAGGAGTTCAAGGAGGGCAACTACACCAGCACCTCCAACGCGCTTGATCTCGCTATCTCGGGCGACGGCTTCTTCACGGTACAGGCGGGCGGTAATGACCGGCACACCGAACTATACCCGCAACGGCCTGTTCCAGTCGACACCAACAATCTATGTCACTGACACGCAAGGTAACCGCCTGCAGGTGTTCCTGGTCGACAGACGGCAACGTCACCCCGTTCGGTAATGACGGCCCGACCAGCTTGCAGCTGCCCGCCGACCAGCGGCACGCCGGTCGCGACCAAGAAGGTACGTTGACATCAACCTGTCGAGCACCGCGACTGCCCCTGACCGGTGCGTTCGACTGCACCAAATACGGGGCACGCGCAAATAACACGACCCAGACCAAGATTTTCGACACGTCGGGCAATGCCATGACGCTGACCAACTATTGCGTCCGCAAGCCGCCGCTGGTCGATGCTAATGGCAATGCGGTCCAGCTGGCGGATTTGCAGGCACCGTTGGCTCCACAGCCATGTCGGTGACCAGCAGATGACCACCAATGGCGCTCGACCGCACCGGTCGAATGGACTTCAATGGCCGGCAATACACCACGCCGGCCGCACCGGTCGCCTTCGACAATTTCACGCCGCGCACCGGTCATCCGCAGCCGCTGACCGTCGATTATCGGTCGTCGCAATCGGGTTCGATCTTCCGGTCAACTCTGCGCACCCAGACGGCAAGGCGGTGGGCCTGTTGCTGTCGGGCGTAAGTCGGTGGGCGAGACGGCCTGATCACCGCGTCCTTCCGAACGGCGAGACTGCCGCTGGGCAAGGTGCGGTGGCGAATTTTCGTCAACATGCCGGCCTGCGCCGAGGAACAGCCATTGGGAAGCGACCGGCGATGTCGGGGGCGGCCAAGTTCGGCACCGGCCATGAGGCGCGTACGGCGCGATCCGGTCGAGCACGATCGAGGATCGAACGCCCACATCACCGAGGAACTGGTCAACTTGATCGCGGCGCAGCGCAAATTCCGTGCGAACGCCAAGGCGCTGATACCGAGCCAGATCTCGCAGACCATCTTTTAACATCCGCAGCTAAGCGAATGGTCGGGTAACAGGGGGCAAAGATGGATGTTGGTCTTACATGGCGGCGATGGGGATGCGTCTGCACATGGCGGCGCGCAGTCGGCGATCGCCAACAACATGGCCAACGCCCCGACGATCGGCTGCGCCGACCGCGTCGTGCTTTCGATCGCATCGACCTAGCGGGTGGCGGCGCGGCGTTCGAGGCGCGGATGCCCACCGCCGAGGAAGTGACCGATGCTGACCGCGCGCGGGTACGGTGCAGCATACCGGCAACCTGGGCTGGACGTGGCGATCGCGACCTCCAGCGCGTGGCTGGCGGTGCAGGCGCCCGACGGCTTCGGAGGCCTATACCCGGCGCGGCGACCGAGGTGACCGCCTGGCGTGCTGCAGACCGGCGATTGCTATCCTGGGTGATCGCTGAACGGCCTGATCACGGTTCCCCCATACAACTCGCTGGCCGTGTCGCCTGACGGCACCGTGTCGATCATTATCCTGCTGGGCGCCGGCCCCGACACCCAAAGTGCAGGTGATCGACCGGATGAAGCTGGTCATTGCCCGCGTGTCGCAGACGGTGAAGGCTGGACAATCTGCTGCGCGTCGAGTGGGCGGCGGCAAGGCTGCCCCGGTGACATGGATGCCACCGTCCAGTCCGGCGCGCTCGAAGGGTCGAACGTCAACATGGCGCAGACGCTGGTCGACATGATCGAAACCAGCGCAGCATGAGGTGCAGGCCAACCTCACGAAAGAGGCCAAGTCGATGGACGAGAACAGCGCATCCCCGATGCGGCTGCCGAGCTGAGGATTAGAGGTTTGCGCCCGCCGCCATACATCGCGCGCACCGGGCCTGATGCCTGACATGCGCATGCGGGTCCTCGAACAACCCGCCAACGTCAACACGACTGTTCCTGCGCGATCGCGCCGTTCGAGACGCTGGGCTCCATCAGACGATTGGCCGCACCGGGTGCGCTTAGCCCGACCGAGAGCAAGTACGCGACCGGCCTGAACCCGGTACCGGCGTGCATCCAGGCACCGCGCGCATCAACACGCAAGGTGCGATGCGATCACCAACAACAGGCCCTCGACATGGCGCTGGACGGCGGGTTGCTTTTTTCCTGTGCAGATGCCGGGCGGTACGCTGGGATATACCCGCGGGCAATTCGCGCTCGCCGAGGGGCTGGTCACGTCGGAAGGCTATCAGTGATGCCGGGCATTACTGTGCCCGAAGGCGCGACGCAGATCACCATCGGCACTGACGGCACCGTCTCGCGACCATCCAGGCCAGACCGCACGGGCTGAGATCGGCCAGATCCAGATCATGACCTTCCCCAATCCGGCGGGCTCCAGTCCAAGGGGCGCGACAATTACCGACTGGAAACCGCGCCTCGGCGCGGTGAACATGGGGTCGCCGGTCCCGAAGGGCGCGGCCAGATCCGCCGTGGCATGCCTGAAGGCTCGAACGTCAATGTCGTTGAGGAATTGGTCGACATGATCGAGACGCAGGCGGCCTCGGGAGGTCAACTCGAAGATGATCAAGTCGACTGACGAGATGCTCCAGTACGCGAACCAGAATCCGTGAGCCGGACGATGCGCCCTCCTTTTCCGCGTGGCGGCTCGTTCTGCGCTTGCCGCTGGCGACCGCGCTGGCGCAGGCCAGCCTGTTCGGCAAGAAGAAGGGCCGGCTGAGGATTTCACACGACCTGCCCGCTGCCCGTCGCCGCCCAGCCGGTCGCGTGCCTGCCAACGGTCTGATCTTCCAGTGGCGCGGACGGCTATGCTGCGCTCTCTACGAGGGCTGGCGCGCGCGCCGGGTCGGCGATCCGCTGACCATCGTACTCGTCGAGCGGACGGCGGCGTCGAAGTCGGCCAATTCAAAGCTCGGCTCGAAGGGTGATCTGGGCATCAACCCGCCGACCACCAGGCCGCTGTCTTCGTTGCTGAAGTCCACCGACATCGGCATGGGGTGGCAGCCTGCTTTAACGGTTCGGGCGCGGCCGACCAGTCCAACTCTGCCGTCCGGCGAGATCAGCGTGACCGTGGCGCAGGTGTTCCCAACGGCACCATGCTGGTCCAGGGGCAGAAGCGTGACGCTCAATCGCGGTGACGAGTTCATCAGATCAGGGACTGGTCCGCATGGTGATGTCGGCATCGACAATCGCGTGCCTCGACCCGCCTGCGTCGCCGACGCGCAGATCGCCTATACCGGCAAGGGCGATGTCGCCCGCGCCAGCCGCCGGGCTGGCTGTCAGCCGCTTCTTTCCAGCCGTCAGCCCGTTCTGAGGCCCAACGACATGATCTTCCGCTTCCTCCTCGCTCCTCGCCACTTTTTTCGCGATCGCCGCGCGGCCCGTAGCCGACCGGATCAAGGATCTGGGCGGGTTCCGCAGCATCCGCTCGAACCAGTTGACCGGTTACGGCGTCGTCGTCGGTCTGCCCGGCACGGCGACGACAATCTGGAATATACCGTCCAGTCGCTGAAGGTCGTGGTGTCGCGCTTCCGGCCTGCAACTGCCGCCCAACGCCAATCCGGGCATGAAGAATGCGGCGGTGGTGATGGTCTGGGCCGGAGCTGCCGCCCTTCGCCAAGCCGGGGCAGAAGCTGGACATCACCGTCGCCTCGATGGGCAAGGCAGAATCGCTTCGCGGTGGCAGCCTGATCCTGACCCCGCTCCAGGTGCCGATGGTCAGATCTATGCGATGGCGCAGGGTAACTCGCGGTCGGTGGTCTGGGCGCCGGAAGGTGCAGACGGCTCGAAGATCGTCGTCAATGTCCCCTCGCCGGCCGCATCCCCGAGGGCGCGACCGTCGAACGCGCGGTCGCCACGGGGTTCGAGAGCGCGCCGATGCTGACCTTCAACCGGCGCGCGCGCGCCGATTTCACCACTGCGCAGAATGTCGCGCAGGCGATCAATGCCTGCCTCGGCATGGCATCGCGCAGGCGATGGACGCCGTGTCGGTCGCGGTCCGCGCGCCGATGGGCGCCGATGTCCGCGCCACACTGATGTCCGAGATCGAGAATCCCGACGTCCTCGTCTCGGCCGAGCCGCCGCCAAGGTGATCGTCAACGCGCGCACCGGCACGGTCGTCATCAACTCCAGCGGTGCGCGTCGGCCCGGCCGCCGTCACCCATGGCAAGCTGACCGTGAAGACGACGAGAATCAGCGCGTCAGCCCAGCCGGCCCCTTGCAGCGGCGCCAGACGGTCGTCACCCCCAAATCGGGTGTGTCGCGGTCGAGGAGGAGCGTCGCCCGGATGTTCCTGCCCGAACCCCGGTCCCAAGCTCGCCGACGTGGTCAGGCGGTGAACGCCATCGGCGCCGCGCCGTCCGGACCTCGTCGCCATTCTCGAAGCGCTGAAGGAAGCCGGCGCGCTCAAGAAGGCGGGTTGATCGCCCCTGTGACCCAATCCATCGCATCCACCCCCGCCGCCTCGGCAACCGGCATCACCGGCACGGTGTCCACCGACACCCGCCGCCTGTCGAACGGCGCCAATCTGGACAAGGCGGGCACGCAGTTCGAGGCGATCTTCACCGGCATGATCCTGAAGGCGATGCGCCAGACCAAGCTGGGCGACACGCTGTTCCGGTCAAAGCGCTCGACACGTTCAAAGACATGCAGGATCAACAGGTTGCGCAGAGCATGGCCGCCGCCCCCGATGGGCATCAGCAAGGCGGTGACCGCATTCACTGGCGAAATCGCAACCCGCTGTTAACCAGAGTTGACGTAGTTAACGCGCATGAGCGACCTGCTCTCTATCGGCGCTTCGGGCGTCCGCGCATATCAGACCGCGCTGACCGCCGTTGGGTGAGAATATCGCCAATGTCGGAACGGACGGCTATTCGCGCCGGACGGTCACGATGCGCGAGGTCGTGCCGGCCGCCGGTTTTAGCCGCCAACAAGGTGTCGGCGGGGGTCGGGCGTCGCGGTGGCGGGCATCGCGCGTGCCACCGACGTCTATGCCAGCGCCGCCGTCGGCGCCGCCACCGCCGGATCTGTCGCGCACCACGACGGGGCGACCGCTGACGCGGATCGAGCGCGATGACCGGCGACGTGTTCAGACCGTCTCACCGCCTTCTTCACCGCCGCACGCACGCTGGCAGCCGAACCGGATTCTCGGCGCTGCGACGATGCTGGAGGACCGCCAGTCGACCGCGACCGCCTTACCGCGACCGACCTTGACGCGACCAGATCATCAACGCGCCGATTTCGACGGCGGGCGCGGCAGGCCGCACGACCTGTCCTCGCTCGCCACCTCGCTGGTGCGGGTCAATGACGGGCTGGGGCGGACCCAGCCGGGGACCCGCCGCACTCCGCGCAGCTGACCGATCAGCGCGACCAGATCCTCGGGCGCGCAGCAGATGAGCGCGCTGTCCGATATCACCAGCACGACCGACGAACTGGGGCGCGCGACGGTGCGACCCGGCGACCGGGTCGGGCCGGTCCCTCGCCTCGACCGATATGGTCGGCTCGGTCAGCTATCAGCGCCGTGCCGATGGCAGCGTCGGCTTCACCGTGTCGCTGCAAGGCGAAAGCCGATTTCATTCCCTACTGGCGGTGCTCTGGCCGGCGCGCTGACGGAGCGGAGCGGATCAACACGACCCGGGCCGCCTTCAACCAAAGTCGCCAAGCGATTTCGTCGACACCGTCAACGGTCTCGGTGCCAATGGTCAGGACCTGAACGGTGACCGGTGGTACGCCGATGTTCACCCTGACCGCCGGTACCGCCGCCATGACGCTGGCGATGACCGATGGGTCGAAGATTGCGGCGGCGACTGGCGGCGGTCGCGCAATGCCGACAATCTCTATGCGCTGCAGACCGCGCGCGGCACCGGGCAGTTCGAAGGGCGGCTGACCCAGATCGTCACCGACAATGCCACCGCACTCAAGCAGCGCCAGACCGTGGCGGAGGCGCAGACCGCGATCAGCGACGGCGCCAAGGCGACGCTGTCGGGGCCTCAGGCGTGACGCTCGATCTGAAGCGGTCACGTTGATGCGGTTCCAGCAGGCCTATTCGGCCTCCAGTCGGGTCATCC